GAGCATTATTTAAGAGCATAATTCATGAACTAATAAGTTAAAGAAACGTAATAGTGATATATGTAACCAGTAATGAACTTATACATGAATTAGCTGATCAAATATGAGCACTAGAGTTTGGTCGCGTGCATTGCAGAGTAATATTGCAGGGAGGGGGAATTTGACCAAATGCAATCTACAGCGCATACCTAATGCTTGACAATGATATCTTTTGCACTGCCAAGCAAAATTCTATACTACAATACCCTGTTTATGTAAAGATTAAGAATGGGCATCCGAAATATTAATTTAATCACATACAATTTTGCCTAATTTTATATCGTAGCTGTATGTACTCATAATTAACCTCTAGAAGGCCCAGTAACCCTTGATGTTACTGTGTATACAGTTCTGCCTGTCCTTATAAAGATCTAGGAAGCCGTTAATATACAGTTTATAGCTGAGGACAGACATTTGTAAATTCAAATCTATTAAAAAGTTGTTCTCGAAACATAGCAGTTTTTTTTTTTATTTTTTTTTACCAGGTTTATACAAATTCATTACATGTACTGTGAAAACCGTTGTGTTTGACATTTCTTTGTTTTGCAAAGGTTTGTCATGGGTTGGCCACCGCTGTACACATTTGCTAAAAATAGTTAATTTCTTATTTCAATACACCGGCAGTGGTCAAAATTAAAACAAAACTACAGAAAATGAAACTTAATTTGTATTCTTATTTATGTATTATGTAGTCCGCGACGTGAAAGAAATATACAAGAGAAAATTTTTAAATTATCAGTTATCTCATGACATCTGCTATTTATATAACACAGGCAATACTAATTTTCCTCAAGCAAGACCACTTTTTTAAAGCTTTATATTATTGCAAGATAAAGGTGCCAAGTACTCAACAAATAAACGTAATTACAAGAAACATTGGCAGTGGAATTAAACTCTTCTATCAATTGTTTAATTGAAAATAATAACAACTAATTAATACATCATTGATTTAAAAGGTGAAGATATCGAACATTGACTTATGGAAAAATCTGCTAAACAATACATCTTTATGAACAGGCAAAAATCACGATCTCTTGAAATTTCGAGAAGCGGGATCATGTGCTCGGGAGAAATAATAAATTATGGAGATAAGGTACAGTAATCAAGCTCAAAAGTCCATTGAAACATAGCAGCAATAATGTAGCCCTCTCCTTTTTTCAGAGAGAGAGAGAGAGAGAGAGAGAGAGAGAGAGAGCTACATTCCACAGAATCTCTATAATGGTGCAAATATATTTCTTCGATACCGTCAACTGCAGACAAAAATAAATTGCTATTGCATTCAACTTACTTCCAATAAGACGGATTTGTTTTTGTTTTTTTGTTTTTTTTTTTTTTTTTTTTTTTTTTTTTATCAATTCTTGTCTTGAATAAGTGCATTTTTGAGTTCAAGTAAGAAATGTGTATAAAATAGCCACTTGCTAATAAATTGAACAAAATCTGTGTGATTTTGAAGAACTTCCTCCTTAGAAAGGGAACATTGGTATAAGTTTGATTATCACTTGCAGAATTAAATCTCGCTCCTCTCAAATACTATTAAAATAATGAGTCTTAAAAACAAGACAAAGTTGCTAACTGCTTTGTCAACTGGGACCAGTACATATTGATCGTGAAATCTATTTTTTTTTTTTCACTTCTTAATTATTGAAGACAGAAGGATAGAATTTTCATATTGCCCCTCAACTGCTTAATTGGAGATTTCAACATACATCTGATACTTTTAATCAATTCTGACAAAGTGTCAAGGTCTTCTTTTCATGTTTTTCCCATTGCCTGGCGTAATCTTCAACATAATTCATAATACTTACATAATGGACTGGAGTTGTAGGGTGAAGAAGAACATGAACACGTTAAAGGATTATGTTTCAGATGTTCGATTTCTAGGCACTGTAGAGTTTGTTTTGTTGTTGTTGTTTGTTTTTTAAATTTAAATATTTGGTTGCAATAGTTGATGTATATTTGTATGAAATACAAGGTGTGGACTTCAGCTTGAGATATGGTGGAATACAAGACTGGACCCTTTTGTGATTAAGAATATTATTTATATTAATGTCATCATGAAAATTCGGATACTAAGCATTCCCTTTTCTATATAAAACAAAAAAATAGTCAAATACTTTAAAAGAAGAAAACACAAGAAATATGCTTATTTTTTGGTCAGGAAAACACTTCCTGTGGCCTTCAACTCGACATTTAGATATAACGACGACGTATTGCCAATTAACAATGGTTATTTCCATTCTTGTGTCGATACGATATACCCCAGTGAGCTTGAAATAAAAGATACTACAGAGTCTGACACATCTGTTTCATATTTGGATATTTTACTAGATAAAGACTGTAATGGTCATCTAACAACACGCTTTATGATAAACGTCATGACTTTAACTTTTCAATCGTCAACTTCTTATTTATGCAGCAATATACCTTCATCACCTGCATACGGGGTTTATATCTCTCAGATGATTCGATACACAAGAGCATGTTCTACGTATGAACAATTTCTAAAACGAGGTAAGTTATTGACAAACAAGTTGATGAAACAAGGATATCAGCAGTGTTTTTAAAGTCCTCATTTCATAGCTTCTACGGTTCATACAATGACCTTTTCAGCACATACAAAAGAGGTCCTTGTTTGCTCTGCTCCAGAATTTGTATTCTTTAATGAAATGTTGGGTTTGTTTACTGTTCGTTATCTCCATACATTTCACTGAAACAATAAGGTTTATTATTCATTTATTATTTATATGATGTGACCTCTGTATGAGATGACTGGTGTCCATCTTCAGCAGTGGGATTCCACCCAGCAACGTTAGGATCAATTCCTTACTTAACGATGCTAGTAGAATATGCTCTTACCACGGATCTGACGAATCCAATCTAGAGAAAGGGATTCGTAGAAGTGTAAAGCACATGTGATATAAAGGTACAAATAAGTTAAATTTAACAAATTTGAATTTGCTTAAAAGCCGTCTTAATCAATCAAATCTTCATTATTCACTGAATGTTTCCACATTGTTAAATTATAGGCAGAGTATTTGCTTTATAATAATGAAAAAAGTTGAGGTTTGATCTTCACTTATGAATCGCTGATTATAGCTATATTGTAAATCAAATAGGGTACCAATTTTGATGCATCAGATGCGCATTTTAACAAATTGTGTTTCTTCAGAGATTCTCATGCTGAAACGTTGGGAATCCAAAATGATGAAAAAAAAAAACTATGAAAAGGACTTGTAGGACAACGCGGCTAGGATAAGGCTGTCCGTAAAATATCACATTGCACCAGCAGCAGTAACGTCTCTGAACTACCTAAATATGACGTCATAATAGCATATGCCATCATGCTACTGCAAATTTGAGCTGACATGACGGGGAGAGTGTCATAAATTATACATTCCAGTCTTATGACATGTATGTCTCTCAGTTGATTCTATACGGAAGAGCATGCTCTACGTATGAACAATTTCTAAAACGAGGCAAGCTATTGACAAGCAAGTTGACGAAACAAGGATATCAACAGTCTCGTTTGAAGTCATCTCTTCGCAAGTTTTGCGGTTGATACAATGACCTTATCAGCAAATACAATCTATTATTGAGTCAAATGCTGACTGACGTTTTTCATACTAATTGTTAGGCCATTTTTTAAACACTGAACTGTCTACGGATTTTTCCGGTTTTTTGTTTCCCGATCATGACAAAGAGCACACACGGCGGGTGTGACCTGTCGGCAGGGCATGCTCACTCCTCCATGGCACCTGATCCCACCTCTAAATTTTGAGGTCCGTGTTGCTCTGCTCCAAATTTGTATCGTTTCATTGGACTTTCGAGATTGAATACTGTTAGTTTTCTTCATATATTTAGTTGATGTTAAATTCAGGTGTCTGGATTGTTTATAAGCTTCAGTGTTATGGAGAATATTTGCATTGACATCGTAGTTTATTTCTCTTGTCTGATATATAGCGTATTCAAACAATAACAAAAAGTAGAATGTGAAATGCTCTCCTTTTCCCGTGCGCAAATCTGAGGAGTTAGAATTTATACATCGTGGATATATTAGACTGGTACAAGTGATTAATACGGATAAATTGAAGATATTCTCTCTTAATCTACAAGAGTAGTATGTTCTCTAACTAACTCTTGCTGGGGGATAATTTGGTTTATCGCCTATTTAGTATAAAGAGTGAAAAATACCCTCATATGTGTTGGTAAGAAGTTCTCGTGAAATATTTACAATAAAAATAAAATTCGGACTTGCCCCCCCCCCCCCCTGCACTTTATGTATACAATACGATACGATTAATTGATTCATTCACAATAATTTTGTTTATCACTTGTGCCAAGGCGATTTTTGAAGTCATGTGACATCACAAAAATATGTTATTTTGATACCTGATAAAATTCCCTTCGCAAGTTGGTTCTACATATAAATTCAAAATTGAAATCACAACACAGACCAAAACAAAAAAAAAACTGTATGTTTTAGTGCATTCAGACAGCCTTAACATAGCTGCGAACAATTAATAATAACAAAAACTTGAATTCAGAGGACTTGAAGTGCTCATTTTCCGAAATATTTTAATTTTTAAGGGTGACATTTATCTTTGCCAATTACGCCTAAGTGCTTTGCGTCAATGTATTTTCCAACTACTTAGAAAATTTTTATATAAAAGCTAACTCCGCATACCTATTCATTGCATTGTCCTTAGTCTCAGATGAGGTAAGATTATTTCAAGTAAGCATCCTCTTAGTATTCATGATAATTAATGATTGAAAGAAACCGGTCTGATTAATCATTCTAAGTCTTGATAATATATATTGCAAAAAGTAATTGTAACTATATTTGATATGTTCATTGCAACATTCTCAAGCTTACCTTAGTTGCAGCAGAATATGAAATCATATTAAACAGAACATTAAATACATGCCACTTATGTTCCCTGTTTTTATTTATTACTAGGTAAACTGATAATGCATCTGAAGCCCTTCCTTATTGTTTTGTTGATCTTCATAATAAATGAAGGTGAGAAGAATTACGTTAATTTGTTTGTAAAAACCATTTAATTATCAAATAATTCCAGGTTAAAAAATCATTAAAATCAGAAAAGGATCAAGCAACCTTAAATTTATCTTTATAATAGTGTCTCTTAATGAGCAATATTTTCTTTTCATTCAATGACTGGTATTTTTTTTCAATCTTTTAAACGAGATATTTAAACGAGATATTAAACAAATGATGTGAGCTATAATGTATTCACCAGTGTGAGCATAAGAAACATTTGGGTTGGTTTTTTTTTTTTTATTAATTTCTATTATCTTTTTTACTTACTAAGAACACGGTAAACTGTTATAAATTATTGTCAGCGAGTATGTAATATATACCCATTAAGGACATAGAGTGAAAACTGTTAGTTAAACTTTTTTTTTCAAAATTGCAGACTTTCAAGTTATCTTAAATTACTATTTCATAATTGTTTCAAATATAAAAAGATTTAAAAATATTTTACTTTCATGTAGATTACTTGAGTTTGATTCGTCGAAAAACATTTGTTAAAAAACATAGTTAAGCTCTGAATGATGAAACTATGTCCTTTGGTGCGATAGAAAGCAACAGTTAACAATGTCTGACGAGGGGTGATATTAAAAAAGATATTGGCTGCGCGAAATATATGTGATCGTTTCACTTTTATTTGTATTTGTATAAAACATAAGTCATTTAGTATAATATAAAAAATACTGCATGTAGTTGAGGGTAACATTGAAGGCTGCGCCTCGGTTGACAATAATTTTCTTGGGTAAAAGTTTTCAATGTTACTCTCTATTACATGCAATATTGATATAATATAAGTTACAGATATGCCTGGGGCCATTAGCTTGGATGTGATGTCTATTTCATTATTTCATTCCTACGTTTTCCGTACATTCCCAAGTCAAGTGATACTGTCGTATATTTTAAAAGTGCTGCGAACCTGTTGAAATCTTGCAAATGAATTAATTACTTCTATATCTAATGCAGTTGACCAGCAAGATATTCAACTCGCGGTCAATATGGCCTAACAAATATAATCGTAACAATTCGAAAGCAGTTTCTATATAGGTTTGCCACACTTTTTAACGAACTAAAAAGGTTGTGGTAACTTTTTATAAATAAAAGTTCGATTTTTAACTTCTTTATGACCTTGTAATATTTTAATTTATATATGACTTCAATACTCTCAATGCTATAAGTATTTTTGCTTAAATCACGTAATTGCCACATGTCTTAAAGGAAAATCTATAAGTCCTTAGCATGTAGATTTTAACTAATTTACATTTGTCCCACATTAGTGGAGAACTTAAAAGAATCGCCCAACCTTAAAGAGTATATTTTTTATCTTTTAAGAAAAGGCCGATATTTCCATTATGCACCTTATTTAGCGGTACTGCGCCTCGTCAGATAGAGAGTGGTCATAATTAAATAGAATTGATATTGGAAATACCCTGATTAATAGAATTCTTGGTAAAATGTTACATGAAGCGTTTGCCTAAATGCAAATTACGAAAGAATCTCGCATTTACAGACGTATCACACACAATATCATTGCACTAAATTCAAATCTAACAAAAATGTGTCAGCCTTTCGAATTCAATGTTGAAGATTTTATTTTTGTTAAATATTTATATATCATTTAAACCTTGCAGATTTGTTTATTTTTAAATGTATAAGAAAATATTAATATGGTTTCATTTTTGATATATATTTTTCATGATTATTTTCAACATAATTTTTTTTCCAAGATGCATCACTCTCAGAGAAAGTTGACAGTGACAACAGAGTACATATAAGTGACATCGGTAGCCATACCTTCATAAGGTGAGATATGTGTTCTGTAGATGAAATGTTGCGTAATAACAATATTTATTTTTCTATATTTATAAGAGGAAAATGATAAAAATGAGGGGGTACCCTACGGCTTTCTATAACAAACGATTAAACAATTTCAAGAAAAAGTACAAAAGCAAAAAATTAAAATGTTATGAAAGATCTAAAGACTTCATGGAAACCCAAAAATCATACATAGTTTTTTTTAGGTTGTTTACTTGGACTTTTTCAAGTAATACCTGCTTGTTTTGAAAGAATATTTATATTTAGCAAATGTAAACATTCTTTTCTTACAATTAACATCACATCATCAAAAAGAATAAAGTCCATATATCTTTACAGTTTTTTTGTCATTCAACATAATCTGATCCATAGAGTTTAAAAAAAAATATTTGCTTAAAACAGGCTCATTTTTAAGCCATTTATATGACAGGCATAGAGAAAAAAGGCGTATCCTGGGAGCTGAACACGAGTACTTCCGGGCATATTACTATGAGAAAGGTCTCCTGCGTGTTTACAACAGTTTGAGACGTGACGGATTAATAGATGATTGGAGTCCACTAGGGGCAACTTCATACAGTAACGCCATTGCTACGTCAACAGATTATTACAGAGTGCAAGCAGAAGCAGGTACAAACGTTAATCTTTCATTATATTAAATGTATGGTTTTCAACGAAGCCCTTTTTTTTAAAGAAATAAGGTATCATATTTAAACTTTTATAGCGATGTACGTGTTGGATATGTAATGAACTCCCAGAAAGCCCGAACGGATTTATGGTAGATTTATTCACATATCAAACCGTATTTACATCCCAATAAATGTTTTGAAATGATACGTTATTACTTATATATACTTATATTTTCATTTTTGACTGATTTATAGCAAATATTTTCCTAGTACTGTAGTTATTTATTGTTTTTAAACCTCAACAGTATAAATCTCAAGTTCAAGTTCAGTTTAATCGCCCAAATCAAAATATCGGCACATGGGGTATATTGATAACATATATACGTATCAAACAAACTGGTCAGAGGTGCAAAAACTATATATATATATATATATATATATATATATATATATAGATATATAGATATATAGATATATATACAAAAAATGGTAAAAATGAGAGAGAGAGAGAGAGAGAGAGAGAGAGAGAGAGAGAGAGAGAGAGAGGGAGAGAGAGAGAGAGAAATGAACATATCAAGGAGGACAGACAGCGTCATAAACTTTTATGATAAAAATATACACTTTTTTTAAAGGATTTTTTTCGTTTTGGGTTGACATAAAGTCCGTGTATTTAATAATATTCGATCCGTGAGAATAATAATTGCCCAGACATTTTTTCGTACATTAGCTAAAGATTTGCATTCTAGAATATTATGAATTTCATCAGCAATTTGACCATTATTACAAAGTGTAAAAATTTCAGATAATGATATACCATACCATCTTCCATTTTGTATTGGCATATGATGATTGTAGTGCGAAATTTTGAAAGCATTTTTCTAAATTTAGGGGAAATTTACAAAAAATAATTTTCAAATCCAAAATTTTCTTTAAAGATTCTGTAATTTTGTCCTTTTGAGGAATTATTTACGTCACTGAACCAATTCTGAATCAATTGATCTTGTAATATTTGCTTAACAGCAGCACTTATTCATTATTCATTTATAATTGATATTGACACCCTGTTGGTACCAAACATTTAATGAACCAAACATGTTACATATTTTCGGTATGCAATTTAACCAAGAGTTTGTCAAACTCCATCACAATAAAGTTTTAATACGTATATTTGTATACCATATTTACAATTTTATTTTGCGGTCCTGAAAAGAGTTTGTCCAGTATGAGATCATTCTAAAATATATTAAGATATATAGAGGAAAACGACCTATTTCATCATAAACCATGTATGCTTGCGTACGTGGAGCTACATGCTTTTAAAAGTTCAGATGTAAGCGTTAAATAACATCAAGATTTTCATAACCCCATACTTCAGAGCCACACAATAAAACTGGTATAAAAACTTTATCAAAAAGATCAAACTGGCAGTAAACTGAAAATTTAAATTGTCTACTTTTTCTTATAATGCCGTATATAGCTTTTTGTGCCTGTTTAATTTTTTTTTTTTTTTTTTTTTTTTTTTTTTTTTTTTTTTTTCAAAATGAACCTGTACGTGAAAATACAACGCCTAAAAATTTAAATTCTTTAACATTTTCTATAACTAAATTGTCGTAATAAAATTTTCTTTTTAACATTGGACCTTTCGAAAATACAAGAATCTTTTTTTTTTAACATTCACTTGCAATTTCCATTGTGAACAATATGTATGAAATTCGTTTAGTGAATGTTGTAGTTAATCGGCTGATTCGGCCATAATTACAGTGTCGTCTGCATAAAAAGTATCAACAGTTTAAAATACATTAGCAATTCATTCTCAATGTTATTTGTAATATAATATATTGAACACGTCACTTTGAAATCACATCGATAATTTATGACTTAACTATGAATTTATGGTCATGTGAACAACCTGTTTATATACAGCATTATTCAAATAGTGTTACATTAACGAAAACATTTTTAAATTTAAAAAATTACAAATAGTTTTTTTCCTTTTTCTTTCTTTTTTTTTCCTTTCTTCAATCATGGTTGGGGGGTGGAGGGAGTGCCCCCAATAATTTTGCTGATATAGAGAATACTATAGAAAACATGGCTACTATATGCTTGTGCCCCCTAAATAAAACATTTGTTCCCCTCCCCCTTTTTTTTGCTTCTTCAAGGAATTTTAAAAATTTTCAGTAGCTCCCCGCCCCAAACTGAAAATGTTTGGTTGTGCCCCCCTCCCAACTGAAATTGCTTCCTAGGGGCATGAATTTTGTTCATAACTTTTAACTCTTTTACATATTGCAATAAAAATGAGGGTTTTTCTGACTAATTACGTACTTGAAAATGTACGTTTATGCATCAAAATTATGTTTTTTTTATTTTTCCCATCATTTAGGTCAAAACGTGGATGCCCAAATAAACCGAATTCAACGTATCCTAGCCTACCGGCGTCAAGACGCTCGAAATCACGGTGGTGGTGATGAGGGTCATAACTTAAATATTGCTAACTGGCAGAATGGATTGGAGAGAATTCAGGGTGGTCAAGATCGATATGAGTGTCGTCGTACATACATAGTTCATGATGAGCTGAGAAAGAGAAGCGTCAGTTATCGAGGATGGAGCAGGCGTCGTGTCTCGAGCCGCAGAGGAGGAAGCAGGAGCCGTCTCCCAGGCAACAGAGGAGGAAGCAGACGATTTATCCCAAACCGAGGACGAAGTGGCAGACGGTTGTTCTGCTGATTTAAGAACATATTTGCATTTGAATTTTAAATATGCTTAAATGTTTCTCATGAATGCATTCTGAAATTTCAAAATGAATTTTTTTCAAAGGCAAATATTTGTTCGACTTTTTGCTATTATGAAATGAATATTACACTCAGGGTCATTTTAACAATGCTTACTGATGGGTGTTGTTTGCTCCAAATAGGAATGTTTAAAGTTTGCTTAATACTTATGAATATTTAAAAAAAACAATAACGATTTTCTTTTCTTAAAGATCATATTTAAAGACTAATGTAAGGCTTTGATAATTTGCTGGGATCAAAAATTAAGTTGCAATAGTAATCTTCTTTCAATTCCCCTACAGAAATATTACAGAGCACTAACTAATTTTCAATAGCATTTATTTCAGATGTAACAATACAGTACACTGCTAATAATTGAAGACTCACGCGGTAGATATGATAAATTCGAAATAAATAAACATGTACATGTATATCCACCAGTTAGACAACGTGCAGAAATGTGTATTTACAGAAAGCGATAGAAGGATGGCCAGATGTTTAGATATTGTTCAAAACTGAACTGTATAGTATACGTACATGTACGTCACACTCAATATCTTGTAAGGAAACACTCACGTTTATCGATATGAAGGACCATTCCTCCTTCTTGATAAATGATTGAAATTAATAGACTAATTCTGGGATTTAAAATAGTGGCAATGAAAACGGTGAAGATAAGGTACAATGATCGATCTAATTTATATTTTAGGAAGCTGTTAGCAAATGTAACAATTTGAACAAAAAAAGTTTTATCTAGCATCAGATACATGCATAACAATTACTTTTAGTGTATTGCACAGTAGGACTTAAATAATTAATATATAATGGTTATTCCATAAAATAAAGACATTTTAGTGGCATTAAATTGGTGACTGAAAGAGATCCTGTTTTCATAAGTTTTTCTTAATCATATATTATACATATGACAAACTCTCTCCATTCTCATTACAATGAATGAAATTATTTTGTAAAATGTGTTTTTAATTTTCTTTAGTGTTACATGCCAATGTTCCTCTCGTCTTATCAATAAATATCACATGTTCTATGTCAATATTCAGAGAAAGAGATTCGTGAATTTTAAAATTGGCAAAGATAATGTTTTGAGTGTATATCTAAATTTTTTTTTAAAAAAATCAAACCTTAAAGACTCAATTTTTTTTACCGCACGGTTACCTGAGGAGAGGGAGTGGTCTTAATTTACCTGGAGAGCCCCAATACTCAAAATGTCAAAAAAACCTATACACATTGTAGTACACAGAAAGTCTGGCTTTGGTAATCAGGATCAACATTACGCGTTTTGCCTAATTTTGAGAGAAACTTTTGTAAACAATTATTTATAATTTAATATAAAATTGGTTAACTTAACGTTTTCATCGATATCTTTTGAAGGAAAAAAAATTACAAAGAAGTATCTTTTTTTTTTAAGAAAAAAAAAAAAAGAAAAGAAAAATAAAATCACGAGCGAAAACTACAAAGCAATCATATCAATATTTTTTAATCGTCAGTAAAAGAAATCATCATTCAATAAGTGTAAATATTGAAATAAAGAGATTTCATTTATCGTGTGGACAATCCGACATGTACCATAGACAGAATATCAATTATTTTTCTGGCCAACAATCGTGTCCAAAGTATTCACCACTGTAATTTCCGGGGTCCGTGTTTTTATGCCCTGTTCACAAATTTGTATTGTTTGTAGACTTTTTTAAATAGATCGATCACTGTTCGTTTTCTTCACCCTTTCCAATATACGAATATATACGTTAGAGGAAATTCGATCAATGATTGTTACATTTCTTCCACCGAATAGTGTAGATTGATTTGTATTTTATAATCTGTTTGTCTTTATTAACAATTTTTGCTAAAAATAGAACGACACTTCCAAATTGAAATTTGAAAGAAAACCTCTAATATCCGCTATTAATATTTCTTCTTCGGAAAGTTCTATAGTTGAGTTGTCTTGAACGTCATATCGCTTACAAGTACCAAACAACATTGGAGATTGAAAAAAAAAAACCCATAAAGTCTAGTGAATGTATCATTATCTACTCTCAATTATTTTTTGAAAGATAATTACAAAACAATATTTTAGCGATTTGAATTTTTTAACCAGAGTGTATACATACAAAGTGACTATTCATGCGGTACATGAAAGCGTTTTACGCGTGACCGGGTAATTGTTTGCAAAACATGCAAACTCAGTCGCCGGTAGCACTGGCAGCTGGCCTGTCAATAAAATCAGTAGCTATTGTTTTTTTTAATGATTGACAGGCTATATATTGTTGATCTGGAATTAGGTAAATTTTGAGGGCGTCAACTTAATATTGGGTATTTAAATAAAAGAAAAAAATGAAGGAAAACAATCTTTCATAAGTCACAATGACCAGTCAGATATTCCTGTGTATGAACAAGTATGTCTAAATCAAATCATAATGACCAGTCAGATATCCCTGTGTGTGTACAAGTATGTCTAAATCAAATCATAATGACCAGTCAGATATCCCTGTGTGTGTACAAGTATGTCTAAATCAAATCATAATGACCAGTCAGATATCCCTGTGTGTTTACAAGTATGTCTTCGTGCATGTATCTAAATCAGAAATCACAATGACCAGTCAGTGATTCCTGTGTGTGTACAAGTATGTCTTTGTGCATGTATCTAAATCAGAAATCACAATGACCAGTCAGTTATTCCTGTGTATGTACAAGTATGTCTTTGTGCATGTATCTAAATCAGAAATCACAATGACCAGTCAGTTATTCCTGTGTATGTACAAGTATGTCTTTGTGCATGTATCTAAATCAGAAATCACAATGACCAGTCAGTTATTCCTGTGTATGTACAAGTATGTCTTTGTGCATGTATCTAAATCAGAAATCACAATGACCAGTCAGTTATTCCTGTGTGTTTACAAGTATGTCTTTGTGCATGTATCTAAATCAGAAATCACAATGACCAGTCAGTTATTCCTGTGTATGTACAAGTATGTCTTTGTGCATGTATCTAAATCAGAAATCACAATGACCAGTCAGTTATTTCTGTGTGTTTACAAGTATGTCTTTGTGCATGTATCTAAATCAGAAATCACAATGACCAGTCAGTTATTCCTGTGTATGTACAAGTATGTCTTTGTGCATGTATCTAAATCAGAAATCACAATGACCAGTCAGTTATTTCTGTGTGTTTACAAGTATGTCTTTGTGCATGTATCTAAATCAGAAATCACAATGACCTAGCGTAGAGTCTTATATGTATGTATACCTATACACGCAGCTAATTCACTAATTATAATGACTCATCAGAATAGCTCTATGTATTTATACGTGTACATGTATTCAATTAACTAATTACAAAAATATATTCCTAACAATATCAATTGAGAGTCTGGATTTCGCAATCATCATTCTTTCAGCAATTTGAAGTATTAAGTAACACACCTCCTTATCTTTTGAAGAGGTTTCTGTAGTTGTTTATGGTTTTTAATGCTTGGAATACTTAACACTCGACCTAACCATTGAGTGATCTGCCAATTGAAGTACACATTCTTACATCAAACTTAAGGTAAGCATTTCAAAGACAAAGCAATATATATTCACGACTACGTGAATCTGAGGATCATGTTGTTATTAAGATAAAAAGAGTACAAGTAAAAGGGGTGAAATTTTGTATCAATGACAAACATTGTACTAAAGCCGCTCGGTCTTACCGTTAACTGAAAAGGGATGCCCTACTTTCAGTCTGGAAACATGACATATTTCTCCTTGTTTTGCGTGCAAAATCCTAAATTGTCTTCTCAAATTTGTTACAACCCGGAGAACCGGGCTGCCAGTTTAAGTTTTGTTGAATGGGATCGGGGTGGGAGAAGTTATTCAGAATTCAGGGTTAACTATACACTAAAAAGATTATATATCAGAATGTTCTTTCCCTGTATAAATTACGAGATACACAATATATTTACTTCCATGAAGTACATCTTTAAAAATATATATGTTTTTCATAGGTAATATACAAAGTTGCTTTTCATTTGCTATTGACAAAACGTCAGGTCCCTTTTAGAACACTAAGTTTTACTTATCGCATAAAAACGTACTCTACGTATTCATTAAGTCAAATATATTTTTGATGATAGGTTATACATGTGTCTGAATCTAATTTATATTTTATGCAGCCAACAGTTACTTGAGGAAATGGTAAAGTTTAAAACGGTATCGTTTTGTTCGATTTTCATCCGATTAGAAACTTTCCGTAAATCTTCTTCTCTATAGTCTCGATCATTCAGACGCGTGCCTTAATCAATAGATGATCAGGACTAATTTCCATTGTTTTCGGAAGAATTTGATCGAGCTCATGATTAATCTTGCACATGACAAGTAATTGTCCCAACTAATAATTAGTACATCTTGCATAAATATTTTGGTCGGTCATTTTCCACACTTGACTCATGATTTTGAGGTCAAAAGTACAAGGGTATGTCTATACATGTATAAAGTAGTAATAGTAACTTCTCAGCTATAAATACAGGATTATGAAATCAATTGCATTCAATCTGGGAGATCAAGTTTTTTGATTAATGGGCGTTGACAGATTAAACTCTAGGACTATAAATTAAAAAAAAAACTATTCACTTTAGTTTTATTTTCACAAAAAAAATGATGGAGTATGTGCCTTGCCTCAAGACTAAATTTAAGAATTTAGGAATTACGGGCACTTCTGAATAAAACAAAATCATAATATACTGAAATGCAAAAGAAATGCAACATCATATTTTAGGGGGAAATATTACATATAGGATATCATTTTGTATCTAAAAAGTAAGGAATTTTTCAATTTTGTAAATATCGGCAACTTAACGGTTGAATGATTTTCATACCATTACCGGAAGTTAAGTTTGAGTCTGCTTAACAAATATCAGAAATTGCATGTTTAACAAAATATTTGGCAATAATATGGGCTTTTAAGGTATTGTATCTGTTTATCATAAGTCAATTAGCAATGTTCCGAAAAATAAATTCCCCTATCTTTTCTGTAAGCGATGCCAAGGCTTCCTGAA